TTTCCATAGCATTGGTAGCGAATTCGAATGCCACTTCTTTCGTGATCCATCAACGTCAACATCGTCGTACTTGGATACGTTCAATAACATATGGAAAACACAACGAAAAACGACACATGTAACGCAGTGCTTGGAAGAAGCTAAAATAGTGTATAAATTTATCTTTTTCTTACGTGTTTTAACAACTATGAATTAATGTGCTCCATGATGTTTTAACAACTGTTAATTAATTTACAAGTCATAATGGACTCATTCTTTAGTTAGGCTCGCTCTTTTTGCACTTTACATTCGGTTTTGGGGCGTCAAATTTGGGTTTTGAATGAAGCTACAGACGAACAAACAATGCTTCACAAAATGGTCAGAAGTTGTTATTATCACTTATAAGTCACATCATGCAGTCCTCTCTAACGAGAAATTAAACATAAGCAAGGAAACCCCATGACGACGGATTTGAAGTGCTAATAATAACTCCTACTGACAAAACCGTATCAAGATAGTCCATGATCAAATATGAAATCACCAAATCAAACTTGGGAACTGGCATTGATGCTACATCCTCACTTGAGAATAAGTATAAAGCCCTTCTTGATCGAGATTAAGGTGATACAAAATTCAAAAGATTCGGAAAGTACAAGATCACTCTAATTTGTCGTAAAAGCACAAGGCTGAACCCTAATTATTAAAACCTCTTTAAATTAGGATGCATAATAATGTTAATTATTAGATTACAAGTTTTGGCAATTTTAAGACTAATTTAATATTAGTCCCCACAGTTTTAGACCATGATATGGAAAATCAAATTAAAGCAAAAAAAAACAAAAACAAAAAACAAAGGAGAGAGGAGCAGCAAGGCAGCAATCCTTTCCCCTCTAAACATTCATTGAAACGTATATCTATATCTATATAGCTGAGAGAGAGTCGTCAATGCACAAATCCTAGAACTGCATAGTAAGCGATCAACACTGGAAGGGAGACCAACATGCCAAATATTACCCTGCATGCAACACAAAATATAAAAGTTAGAAGAATATATATTTGAAATTTATTTGAAATATTATTGCTGCGAATTATCCAAGTAATCTCGTTGATATTTTTCATATTTAAAGTATGCATAAATTTGAGATTTGTAAATATAAAGAGGTGCATACGTACGCTGTACTGAGCACTTCTGCATGGAGTCCATACTGTTCGGCAAATATGAAGGACGTAATGGACTGTGGCACTGCTGCCTGAAATATTGTATATAAATGATGATAAGTCATCTAATTAAACATTTATCATTTGATCCAAAAATAATAATTAAAAACATTTATCATCTGAAAAATAAAATCATCACGTAGAAAAAGATAATTTTTTTTATGAATGCCGCAAACACAAGTAATGTGGTAAACTATTATCGAAGTGTAACATTTACCATCTGAAAGATAAAGTCATCATGCAAAAATATGTATTGTTGCTTGCGCAAGTTGTTAAAGGGAGATATCGGACATTCTTATTTCAAAATTCATTTAAAGTTTAAGATTAGTGAGCTAACCTTCAGTGCGGTACTAATTAAAGTTCCTCAAAAAGTTAATACCATTAGTGAATACCATTAGTGAAAAGAACCGTGTGGTGTTGAGAGCTGGTCAGATCTGACCAAGCATCAATGTTCCTCAAATTTAAATAAAATGGCTTCACTAAAAAAACTTGATTAATACACAATATACATGAATACATGCATGAGAAGGTTTCTGTTGTTGTCCAATCTGTTTTAGAGACGGAATATTATAGGAAATGAAAATACATATCATTTTTCTCCTCATACGTACACATTTATATTTAATCTTATTTGTTATTTGCATTTAATTAATTCAATCTGATAGTTAAAATTAAAAATAGTGTATGGAAAAAGAAAATATATGGTTAACATTTCCCAACATAATTCCTTAAAACGGATCCTCATTTTTCTCAAAATTTGTTATGTAAGTAAAAGAGAATATTAGGGTAGGATGTGTCTTAGTGGAGAAGAAATTGGCCACTTATTTTGCTGGGCAGCTCATTGGAACAACCTCTATGTTATTCCACGTACGATATATATATGACATGCAACCACTATTATATATACATATATACTATAATTTTATAGGCCATGCATGCTTGATTCATCATTTAACTTTCTAAGATATATAAATTGGCAAGTAAACTACCTGAATGATAGCAACACGTAAAACATCACCATGCAGACCCACAGCAATAGAGCCAATCGCCATGGCTGCCGGTCCTGCAATAAACCTCAGAACCATCCCAATTATTGTTAAGCTCGTCCCACAGGCTACAAATTTTTCCTGCAGTGCCATGAAGATACCTGCACGTTGCATACATGATATATAGTTAAAACGTTACCGTACAGATATATTCATTAGCATTAGCATTAATTAATTAGCATATATATATATGGTTAATTAGTGATCACTCACCCATGCTAAACATAGCAGTGCCTGTACCAGCTTTTGACATGATTAAAACAGATCCTTCCATGATGCTTGGCAACTCAATATGCCACCTGCAGCACCCATAAATTTATTTATTAATTTACAGAGACATATATGAAAAAACGTAAGATATTTAGTTAATCAATACTCAAATATAATTAATAAATATTTTCTTGCATATTATATAGATAGATGCATATATTTAGTACCTTTTTGTAAAAGCCCAAGCAATACCAATAAAAACTGCATAGGAGTTGGGATTCATTCCAAGTTTCACCCACACAGCCTTCATCAAATACCAAAAGGAAGGCCTAGTACTTATTGTTATCTCCTCCATGGCTTCTATGTCCTCCCCTTGTGGATCAACCGAGTGAACTCGAGTGTCGACATTAGTACGACTTGAAACTATGCCTATCGACCCCGTACGTCGAAATTCCAAGACAAACAAAAGAATGGTGAGCCATACGATGGCCTGCACGACCGATGATTGAACAACAAGATCAACGGATGACGAACCATACATGGCTCTAATCAAGGGCACACCAACCACTAGGGAATTAGTTAACGTGCACAAAGAGAAGCTTGTAATGGACCAACTGTAGCTTCCTTTGCTGCTGCACTTGGCCCAAAGTGCTAGCACCACCACGATTATGAGCTTAGAGATGAAGTCGGCGCCGATGAAGCGGTAGTTCCATTTGTAAGGATCCACATGTGCAGTGAATTCGAACGTGAAGAGTGGGAGAGTAAAGAAACAAACGAAGCGGTTGATCGCGCCACACTGCTCGGGAGTGAATATGTGCCACCACCTTACTGAGCCGTACCCTAAAATTAGGGCAACATAGAGTGGAACCATGGCTACCACCACCTTGTAAACATCTTCCCACCCAATCATCTTAGTGTGTTAATTAAATATATTTGGGCAACCTAGCACAATAGCTTGTAGCACTACTGGCAAGAATGGAAGAAATGAAGAATATGATGTAGTGCTACTGTGAATGGTTAATTAGCTTGACAATATTCATGAACTTGATTGTATTGTATATATGCATGCAGGGAAAGCCGACTTTGTTCCCTTTTTTTTTTTTTTCTTTTTTATTCCTTTTATCTTTTAAGAGTACGTGAAGACCCGTGAAGACCGGGGAAGAGAATGGTGCTGTGCTGATGAGTACGTGAAGACCGGTGAAGACCGTGGAAGAGAATAGTGCTGTGCTGATGACTACGTGACGACCGGGGAAGAGAATGGTGCTGTGCTTATGACCATGGCCTTCGGTTGGGTGGGGCTTGAATTTGGGAGTTAATAATTTGGCGAGGCTCTCAGCCTCCGCGTGACCTAGGGTGGTTTTCTCAAGTTACACAGTGAAGCCAGCAGCAAAGGTTACAGTGCCCACGAGTGTCCACACTAGCAGGTTGGGGTGGAGCCACGAGTTTCCACACTAGAATAGTCCCGGGCCTACCTGATATTTTTTTCAAAAAGCTAGAGTTATCACTTTGATTTTCAATAATTATGAATATGCAATAATTCACATATTTGTAAAAATCATCATCGTCATTGGGCAAACAAACGTCAGAATCAGACCAAAAATCTAGAGTAGCAAATTAAGTAATGGTTGTGACAATGACCAGACAATGAATGAGATGATGGTTGAGAGATGGATTCGCATGCGAGTGTGTTGCGTCATTATTGCATCATTTTGTTTACATTTGTGAGAGGCCCTCCTATTGCAACATTTTGTAGTTGACTTGAGTTTTGAGTGATGATCTTTATAGAAATTAGGAAGAAAGTCATTCAAGGGCGAATTAACACCTTTTATACATTACATTTGGAAATAATTTTAAAATGCACTACTAAAATTTGAGAAATGCTAACAACCTTCTCATTTATTTTCTCATTTCAACTCTCTCATTTCTTTTAATGTCACTTGCTCTATTAGCACTCAAAGCTATAATTTTAATTTTTTTCTTCCTTTGTTGGTATAATTAAAAGTCGATCTTCCTAGTATTACTCTTCGCAATTAGTTCTACTGGTAAACGACGTGAATGTTGCACCCTTTGAAACGGACGACGTGAAACTAAGCGTCGTTTTGCCTTCTCACCGACTGGGCCTATTGGGCCATTTCAAAGTGGTCCAACGAGAAAACATTTTATAGCCGTTAGAAAGAAAGAGCTCCCTTACATTTAAACCGACGGCTCAGATTCACTCAGTTCAAACATCAATGCAATCAAAACACTCCCCTCGCAAATCCCTCCGGTTCTATAAACTAAGGGGCGTTTGTTGCGCCGGACTATCTCGGACTGGACTAGCTTCAAGGACTAAGCTGGACTAGCTTATACTAGACTAAGCTGGACTAATTTAGTGAAGCGTTTGATGCAGTGTTAGACTACAAAACTGGATAATAACAAATTCTAATATTATATTATTTAATATATAAATTATTAATATTTTATTATGATCTAGGTGACCGGAGATGACGAGGAGTCTATTGGGAGTGGTTGTTGAGCATGACGAGGACGAGAGAGGATAGTCTTAGCTAGTCCCATGGTTATTGGGGGGTCTCACTAAGACCTCTTAGTGAAGGGTTTTGTCCATGCTAGTCCCCTTTAGTCTCATTAATGTTAGTCCCAGCATGAAACAAACACAATATTGGACTAACAGCTAGTCCAGTCCAGTTCAGTCCCACAAACGCCTAACGGTCTCTTTCTCTCTCTAGCTCTCTGAGATTTTCGTCTAACCCTCTCTCTAGAACTCGCATTCTTGCTGTGATCCTAATCCACGGACGGTACTCTCCTCTCTCTCTCTCTCTCTCTCTCTCTCTCTCTCTCTCTCTCTCTCTCTCTCTCTCCAGTTATTTCTTGTTAAATGGTCGAGCGAGCACCTGGAGATGTTTCCCCAAAACTGCAAAGACGTCGTTCCAAATCACGACTCCAAGCCCTCTCCGACCTCTGACGCAGGTTCGTGCCTTTGTTTTATTTTATTCAATTCGCCCCCTTTTTAATTTTTTTTGAATTACTAGAAAATGTTGAATTTGAGGTTCGGATTCGATTAGTACTGCTTCTTATATTTTTAATTTTATTTTCGAGCCCTAGAAAATGTAGAATTGGGAAATTTTCTGATTCGAATCCACCCCTCTTTTTCTTCAGTTAAAACCCTAGAGAAGATTACAACCCAGTTGGACAGTGACGTGAGCGACAAAGGTGGGTAATTTCTGCAATTCTTGGTTTTTTAATCTTTAATTTTCTAAAAGAAATTAGGATTTTTTTTTTTCAACCAAACTGTTACACTGAATTGAAATTGAGTAGTTGAGTTGTATGAAAATGGAAAATTTTTGGGGTTCGTTGAAGTCAGGCTCTGATTGTATCATTATTTTCAGAATGTAGTCCAGATATTGCTTCCAAACCCGTCGAGTGAGATTCTGATTTGATTGGTGAGAGTAGCAAGTCGAACGGAACTCAAGAAGGTTCTCCATGTCAGATGGTCCTTCCAGTTTTGCAGAAGATCACTGATTTGTTAATGTCGCTTCGAGGAAAGCTTAGAAAGTCATTGGAAGCATTTGTATATTCTTTCTGTTTTGAATCTTTGGACAAATTCACTAAACGTTTTTGCTTTTGTTCTTATGCTTTAGGACTTGAAGAGAGAGAGCATACTGCCTTGTCTGATGAAGTCAAGCTCACTACGAATTCCTCGAGTGAACGTTTTGTTTTAATCACTCACAATTATTTTCTAACTTTCCTTCCTCTCTTTGACTGTAATTGTTTGTTTCGGGATATTTAGGTATTGGAAAGAAGTACCTGATGAGTTGTCTGAGCAAAAGAGACTTTACAATGAAGTGATTGAGCTTAAAGGCAACATCCGAGTTTTCTGCAGATTTAGACCTTTGAATCAAACTGAAATTTCAAGCGGATCAGGTTCCGTTGTTGGATTGGAATCCTCCCTAGACAGTGGGTTGCAGGTCATTTGTTCTGACTCCTCTAAAAAGCAGTTCAAGTTTGACCATGTCTTCGGACCTGAGGGCAACCAAGGTAGCTGAGAACTCATACTGATTTTGTAATTGCACTGTCTAATACTCAGCAGTTGATTTTGTTTAAGATGAATAACTTTTAGCTAGAACTTTGTATTGTTCATGCTGAGCTTTTCAAATGTGCAGAGGCTGTTTTTGTTAGGAATGTCGGTACTATAAGATAGAGAATGCACAAGGTAAAGTAGAAAATGGACACCAAGAATTTATGTGGTTCGGCAATTTATGCCTACGTCCACCAAATAAGGATCAATCTTCACTATATGAAAAAGATGGGTACAACAAGAGTAGTCTTACCAAGCCAAAGACAAGGCTTGATGGATACAAGAGAGTATAACAACACTTTCTCTCACACTAAACTTCACTCACACTATGTGTAGTGGAACACACTCACTCTCACTCTTGGAGTGGAACTATAGCTTTGGACTTGATCCTTTGCTACTCACCCTTAGTTCTTAATTGGTTACATCACACCCATATTTATAGGTGAGGGCTTGGCATTCTACTAGTTTCTAGTTCCTTCTTCAAACCTCTAGTATAAAAAAAATCTAGACTAACCACACACTTGTAGCTTCTAGATCTTTCCATTTGCAACCAAGGAAGCTAGTACTCTCTAGCTTCTTCCATCAACTTAATAACATGCTAGAATTCTCTAGCAAGCTCTAGCCTCCTCTCTTGCTTACTAGAATAATCTAGAACATTGATCATGGGCTGGACCATATACCAACAGTTTTCGCTCAAACGAAACCTATTGTGAGTTCGGTGTTGGATGGCTACAATGTCTGTATTTTTGCCTATGGAAACTGGAACTGGCAAGACCTTTACGATGGAGGGTACTCCTAAAAACAGAGGTGCTAACTTCAGGAGATATGAGTTATGCGTTAGTATGCTAGAAGTCAATAATGAGAAGACAAGGGACATCTTGGTCGATAACACCAATCAACCGACAAAGAAATGAGTTTTCTTCTGCTTAGATGTCAAATTGTCAATTGAGTAGACTTTGCAACCTTGCACATAGAAAATTGTTTATTTGAATCAAGTATCAACATCACATAGTTTTAGGCTCTTAAGATGTTGAACCAAATTGCACTCTGACTGAATATTGACATCCTTACTTAGGAATTAGCATAGAAAATTGGACAAATAGGTTATATAACTGCTGCTTCATTGGAATTACGCTGGTATGCTTTCTGAAAACTTACTTTATAATTGTTGCTTGCTGTGACTGTGCTTAGAAACATGCATAAGAGTTAACTACTAGATAAACTGACACGCCCTGATCTCGATGTCCAGAGGACAACTGGATGGCCATGTGCTGGCCGACACCCTAGGGTGACGCAAACCATTTAATGAATGCATATGCCGAGAACATGTAATGACACAAACCATTTCGCGCAAACTACACAATGTAATATTCATATACAAACCTTACCAAAATAATATAATAATATTCCGCCGTCAATAAAATGATAGTGATAATGCATGATGACATGTTCAGAGTAGACATCTTAAGGCTTTGGTATCCAACACATATGTTGTTGATAAAATTTCCAACACCTTCTGGCAATGGTTACATCAAATGAGATCACCTTAGTGCACGATCATGCCACAATAATTCGTGATGGCAACGGTCAACCAGATGATCCACGAGATGACTCTTTTACCTAGCAAACATAACCTGCTGAAAAATTGGTGAAGGTCTCTATCTCAAAAGATTATCCGAATCACATAGTGAAGATTGGCACCACCTTGTCACACCCATTTGGTTGGCATTGATCTCCTTTTTGTAAGAGAACACCGAGGTCTTCGCTTGGTCATATGAAGACATGCTAGACATCTCTCTCAATATCATCTATCATCGCTTGAGTATTGATCGCAAGACTAAGCCAATAAGACAGAAGCAAAGATCTTGTGACGTTGAACGATATGAGGCAATGAAGGCAGAAGTTGAAAAACTCAAAGACATAGGCTTCATCCATTAAGTCAATTATCCAACATGGGTAGCAAATGTTGTCCTTGTTAAGAAAAATCCAACCACGGAAAATCTCATGCTTCAAAAGATCTTGTGGAGAATGAGTGTCGACTACACTGACCTAACCAAATGATGCCCGAATGATAGCTTTTCCCTTCCTCTCATTGATAGACTTATCAACTCAACGACAGGATGTGAACTCTTGAGCTTCATGGATGCTTACTCAGGGTAAAACCAAATCCTCATGAACCATCCCGATTAAGAACACACAACCTTCACTACTGACAAAGGATTATATTGTTATAAAGTCATGCCCTATGGCTTAAAGAATGCAGGGGCGACTTATCAGAGACTAGTCAATTCAATGTTCACCGAACAAATTGGGAAGAGCATGGAAGTTTATGTTGATGATATGCTAGTCAAGAGCAAACATGTTGACCAACACATCACCAACCTGTCTGAAAACTTCACCATCCTGAAGAAGTATCAAATTAGGTTGAACCCCAACAAATGTGTCTTCGACATTGACTCTGGTAATTTCTTGGGCTTTATGATTAGCCAACAAGGCATTGAAGCTAACCCCGAGAAGATCAAAGCAATCTTTGACATGAAAGAAAGAACCAGTAACTTCAAAAGACGTCCAAAGCCTTACTGGCAAGATGGCAGCCTTGACCAGGTTCATCTCTTAGGCCACAGACATATGTGCCCCTTTCTTCAAAGCACTTAAAGGAAGTAAGAAGTGCATTACATGGATTGATGAATGTGTCGAGGCATTCAAGAACCTCAAGGAATACATGAGTAAAGAACCCCATATTCTTCAAACCTGAAGTTGGTGACATTTTCATTATCTATCTATCTGTTTCGGCTTCAGCAGTCAGTTCCATTCTCATTCGAATAGATGATGGTGTCTAACGGCCAATCTATTACGTTAGCAAGGCCTTACAAGATGCAAAGACACAATACTCTAACATTGAGAAATTCGCTCTAGCATTGGTCATGTTTGCTCGAAAACTTCGTTCTTACTTCCAAGCACACTCTATCATCGTGCTTACCAATTATCCCATTCGACAGATACTCCAAAGTCTTGACACTTCAGGACGAATGATCAAGTGGGCAATAACGTTGGGTGAGTTTGACATCTCCTACCAACCAAAGCCAGCTGAGAAGGGCTAAGCAGTTGCAGATTTCATCATCGAATTCACATATCCTATTGACATTTCTCCTACACCTAAATCATTGGCTTCATTACCCTCGAAAGCTCGAAAAGTAGAACCAACATTCCCTGGATGGACTATATATGTTGATGGCTCATCCAACCAACAAGGTTGTGGAGCAGAACTAGTCCTTACTACGCCAGATAAAATGGCGATGGAGTATACTCTTCATTTCAAATTCAAGACATCAAATAATTAGGCCAAGTATGAAGCCCTTATGGCAGGCTTATATTTGGCCAAACACCTTGGAGTTAAACAAATTGATATCTTAAGTGACTCTCAATTGGTGGTTAACCAAGTCATGAACAACTTTGATGTTAAGGATAGCTTCATGGTAGCATATCTTGTGCAAACACAACTTTTTCTTAAGCACTTCCACTACCAGATCACCCAAGTTCCTCGAGCGGCAAACAGTCATGCAGACGCCTTAGCTTGCCTCACCTCAGCAGTGGAAGACAAGATTGGAAAAAAAATTCATGTCGGATTGTTGGCAGCATCAAGCACTATGGCCGTGGAAGTATGCACCTTACAACGGGGGGATTTATAAATTTCTTGCTTATGGCACACTCCCAAATAAGTCCAAGCTAAGCAAATTCGATACAAGTCTACCCGCTACCTAATCATTAATGACCAACTCTACATGTGAGGTTTTAACCTGCCATACTTAAGGTGTCTTACGCCTGCTGAGGCGGAAATTATACTTCAAGAGATGCATGAAGGAGTTTGTGGAAATCATGCTAGATCTCAGTCTCTAGCATATAAGGCTTTTCACCAAGGGTATTATTGGCCAACACTCCATCAAGATGCCATCAAAATGTCCCGCTCATGTGACAAGCGTCAATGCTATGCAATTATTCCTCACTCTCCTCACTCTCCTCTCACTCCTATGATCAACCCTTAGCCCTTCGCCTAGCAAGGACTTGATTTGATAGGCCCAATGCCTGCGGGGAATGGCAAGGTGTGTTATGCAATCGTTGCAGTTGACTATTTCACAAAGTATGCCGAAGTAGAACCTTTGGCAACCATTACTGAGGCAAAAATAGAAGACTTCATATGGAAGAACATCCTTTGCAGATTCAGCATTCCCAATGCAATAATCATTGACAATGGGCGACAGTTTAACAACAAGAAGTTCAGGATTTTATGCTCTAAGTTTAACATCAACTTATGTTTCGCCTCCCTAGCTCATCCTCAGACTAATGGACAAGTTGATGCCATCAACAAAATAGTAAAGCGCACTTTAAAGACCAGCTTGGACAAGTTTAAAGGCTGTTGGCCAGAACTTATACCCCAAGTTCTTTGGTGATATTGCACTTCGTATCAGACTTCAACATGAGAAACTCCACTCTCACTTACCTTTGGTACAGAGGCAGTTATCCCAATTGAGCTTGAGCAAGCAAAAGATAGGCAAAATGAAACTGACAAACAACTCACCCTTAACTTGGATATAGCTGAGGAACACAAAGCCCAGGCTCACTTGCGGAACGTCGCTTACAAGCAGCGCATCTCCAACTACTATGACTCTAGGGTCAAACCTCGCTAATTCAAAGTGGGGGGACTGGGTATTGAAGAAAATACTACTTTGCGACAAAGTCTCAAGCAAAGGCACACTCAATCCAAATTGGGATAGACCACTTGAAGTTGTTGCCATCAGTCGCCCTGGCTCCTACAAACTTAGAAACTCCGATGGAAAGACCCTTGGCCATCCATGGAACGCTTATCACTTGAAGTACTATTATAAGAGACTCACATTGTACAAGTGTTGAGCTATAGCCATTTGGTATCCTATGTAATGAAGGTCATCTGACATGACCTCAATAAAGAGTTGATTCAGACAACTTGCTCCTAACTCTTTTACATTCATAGTAAGGAAACACTTGGTCTCACCTTGACCTAATAAAAGCCTAACTCAAAACCTCAACTTAAATGACACCGCATACTCGGGTTTGAAGCTT